GCAACAAGAACAATAAGTCTATTAGCTTTCTATTGCTGCTTAATGAACTACAACAAACTTAGCAACTTAAAGCATCATGTATTTAACATCTCACAGGTTCTCTGGGTCACAAGTCCAAAGCGTGAGTTAACTATGTCTCTGCTTCAGGTTCTGACCAGGCAACAATCCGAGTGTTGACAGGCATCTCAACAATGCCTCAGCTAACTGGAACTCTCATCCTTGACATACCCTATTGGTTAGAAGCAAGGCACAGGTCCCACTCACACTCACGTGAAGAACATCACATAGGACCTGAACAGAAGGCAAAGAGATCATAGAGGTAACCTTTGAGTCTTTCTGTACAACAAGATATCTATAAGTCACCAAATATTTGGAAACTAAACAATGTATTTCAAGTGATCCACACATTAAAGAAGAAATTCTAGGTAAATTGGAAAAAATTTCAAGTAAATTACAGAGAAAATGCTACATAGTTTTATATTAAGGAATTCAGCTAAAGGAAGACTTAGGAGAAAAGTTTTCAGTTTTAGATTTTTATTTTCTTAGAAAAGGCATACAATCAGTGGCCTACATTTCTACTTTAAAAGCTAGGAGAAGAGGATCAAAGAATAAAATTAATCCAGATTAGAAAAGAAGTATACCTGTTTAGAATATAGATTTTTTCAAAAAAGATGGTAAGTCCCAAGCTAGATTGATCAAGTAAAGGAGTGTACAGATGACGAATATTAGGAATGAAGAAGGAGCTATTCTTACATATTCTACTTATGTTGAAAGGATAGCTTGGAACTATCATGGAAAATTCTTTGACAACATATCCAAAAACTCAGATAAAATAGAAAACTGCCTGAAAATGTCAACTTACCAAAACTGACATAAAAAGAGATACCTAATAAAAAACTTAATTCAATTTCTTTTAATTCTCCCTTAGTCAAAACTCCATACACTCAGGTGGTGAATCATACTCAACACTGAAAATAAATAAAATTTCACACACTCTTTCAAAAATCAAAACACAAACACTTTGGAAATCATTTTATGAAGCCAGTATAACTCAAAATATGAAAATCTGGCAAAGATATTGCAAGAAAATAACAAATCAATATCCCTTACCACTTAGATGTGAAAAGTCGGGACAAGTAAAATCTAGCATGTGTAATATCATGAGTGTGCATAGTTAATCCCAGGAATACATTGCTTATTGCCTCTTTAATGGGTCAGTGCAATTTGCCACCAGAAGATGGAGGAAAAAAGAGACATTAAATACAATTCAACACCTATTCGTGATTTTTAAAAATACTATGATAAAGTTTTAAACAGAAGTCCAACTAGATAAAAGTGTTCTATGAAAAATCTACAAGCAACATTATAATTACTTATGAAAGAACAACTGTTTTTCCTATAAAATCAGATACTAGAGAAGGATTTCACTCTTACCACATCTTATCTGGCATTTTATGGGAGGTACTAACTAGGGAAATATCGCCAGAAAAGAGAAAAAAAGCATAAAAAGCTTGGAAAGAAAAAAAGTGTGTCCCTTTGTAAAAGTATATTGGTTTACACAGAAAATCTTAAGAGTAAGGCAACACAGTAACTAGAAGTAATAATTGAATTTCCAAGATGACAAGCTGCAAGGTTGATATTCCAAATCAATTGTATTTTATACAATGGCAGAAATTCTTGGAAAGTGAAATCTGAAATACAATTCCCCTTATAATATCAACAGGAAAAAGAAACTGGTGATAAATTTAAAACATGTGCAAGACCTCTATACTGGAAAATACAAAATATGGGTAAGGAGCTGAGAAAAGACCCATATAAATGGAGAACGGTTTGAGATTCCATGCTATCAAGATGCAAATTCTTTCCCACTGTGTTCCACATGGTTGCTGAAATCCCAACATAATCCCACCAGGATATTTTTTTATACAAATTGTTAGCCTGAATCTACACTGTATCTAGAAATGCAAAGGAACAAGAATATCCAAAGCAGTCTTTAGAGAAGAGCAAAAAATGTGTAACTTGGAATACATGACCTCTTAAACTCCAAAACTACAGTGATCAACACAAAAAAGGCAATCATCAAAACCATGAGTAGATCAAAGAACAGAAAGTAGAGCCAAGAAATAGATCACAATAAATAATAATCCAAATTAATTTTTAATAGACTACCAAAGCAGTCTGCTTGATAAATGGAAAGTCTATCCCACAAATGGTTGTGAAACAGATGGATATCTGCTTGTAATAAAAAAAACCTGATACCTGCCTTACATCACATACACCATTACTTTAAAATGGACCAAAGTTCTTGCAGCAATAAAACTTCTAAAGAAAAGCAGAAGAAATTAAAAGATTACTTAAGACACAGAAAGCCATAACTGAACACAAGAAAAAATGATAAACTACTATATCGAAATTAAAACCTTCTGTTCACAAAACACCCTGTTAAATAAAAGAATTTGAATGTCACAGACCAGGAGGAAAACACCTATCTAGTGAAGTACTAGTATTTTAGTATATACAAAATATTCCTACAAAGTAATGATAAAATGCAACTTAGTATTTAAAATGGGGAAAGTTTCAAAAGCTACTTCGTAAAGAAAACAAATGGCCAATAAATTTATCAAAAAGTCCTATATCATTAGTCATCAGGGAAACACAAATTCAAAACACATTATGTTATTTTTACAGCCCACCAGCATGGCTAAATTAGACAGACCAAGATCACCAAACCCTGGGGACAAATGGAACTGGAACTTCTATATAGTGTTAGTGAAAATATAAAATGGTACAACCACTCTGGTGTCTTACAGATACAAGCATTTATTTACTTAACCCAAGACACAGAAATTTAACTCTGAGGTATTTACACAAAACAAATAAATACAAAAAGACTTGCACAAGAACATTGGTAGCAGCATTTTCTTTTCATGATAGCCCAAACCTAGAAACACTCAAGTGTCCATGAAGAAAAGGAAAAAATGGTAACATATTCATATACTAGACCACTATCCAACAAGTACCAGAAGAAAATATTCATGCTGTAAAAAAACATGCACAGAGAGAGAAGCCTTACATAAAATTGCTTAAATTATTTGATTCAATTTATGTGAGATTGTAGAACAGATAGGCCTATCTATGGTGGGGGAAATTTGGAAAAGATGCAGCCTGTGTGCAGATGTTTCCTTGTGCAGGGAACGGTGGGAACAACTTGGGAAGGAGCAGAAAAAACACATATGGTTATTGCTCTGTTTTGGTAGTGTCACTAAAGAGTATGCATTTAGCAAATTCAGGTTTCTTTGCTTCGGGTATGCAAATTTTATTTCATGAGAATAACTATAAGCAAATATTCTAACTCCAGTTAATATTTCCACATATGCATGGTGAAATGTTCAGGGCTGAAAACACACTTGAATCTGCAACTTACTTCAAAACACATCTAAACTAAGACAGAATGGTGGATGAATAGGAGAATGGAAAGATAGAGATGTGTGATAAAAGAAATATAATAAAGCATAAATTGAAGAATCTCAGGTGATGGGTAAGTGGGTAGTCACATAAATCTCTCAGTTTTCTGCAGGTTTGGTGACTTGCATAATAAAATGCTGGAATCAAATTACCAGTTTCATGATCTCAAAATGAGTGATATTTCTAGGTTCAAGTTTTTCTCTCCTAAAATAATGAGAAAGTTCAACTCTCTTATCTCTATAGATCCTTCTAGAAATATGGTCAAATTATGCCCTGTCTTATATCTCATAAAAATTGTACCTAGATTCACATTCAATTTCCTGCAAGTTATTAAAATGTGCTTTCCTTTCCATCTTGTAAGTTCTTTAGCACCATTCACTTTTCAGATATGTCTACAATCCCTGTCCCCATTTTTTTCCTACTGCCACTTGTCAATTTCACTCCTTTTATGCATATTCAGATTGCTATGACAAGATCTGCCCATAATTTTGTCTATTTATCAATTCAGATTTTGACAAGCATTTAAAGTTATATATTTAACCCTATCTTTTTTATTAGATAGCCTATGCCCAATCTTATAACGTGAAACAACATAGAATTGATCAGTATTCCCATGCACCCATTTTAAACATTAATAGTCTCTTGACAAATAAATAAAACATTATTTGTATGCTTTAACTCTTTCTTTTCCTAATTTTTCTATCAGTAGTCAACATGGTTTTCATCATGTGACAATTAAATGAAATCTGTGAAACTCAGGCAGTTGTAAGAATTCATTCACACACACTCACACATATACACATGCACACACATACACACTCTCCCACACTCATATATATACACACACACACACACACTCATACACAATTCTGTCTACAACTTTACAAGGTTCACAGGCCCCTGAAATTAATCCCTGATCCATGATCTATACTTTTATCTCAGCTGTGTTCAGGAAATTGAAACTGAGGAACACCAGGATGAGTCACAAAACTGAATGCAACTCGTTGGAATGAGATATTATTTCAGCCTAGGTCCTGCTTCTTGAGACTGCATACACCTCTGCACTCTGTGCTGCACAGAGACTTCTAATGCCTCCAAAGCAGTTCTGAACAAATGTGGTGTTCCCCCAGCATCCACAAAAGCGTGGGTCTTTGGAAGATGCCTTGGGACTCCAAACCAGGGAGAAATACATGGCACAGGATGAAATGGTTTGGTCACAGGCAGCATAGGGAAGTGCTCTTTTGTGACACCAATTCTTAGGGTACAAATTCTACGAGCCCTAAGGCTCGTTCCTGATAGTTTTCCTGCCACACCATGAGGGGCATTTGTTAGAAAACAGATGTCCTGGAGGACTGGGGATTTTAACAGCCTGGAGCATCTCAGCTTCTCTTTGAGCCCACATTTATTGAGATTAATTATTGGAAGATTAGTTATTGTGCTTCCCCCACTCTCTACCTACTTGGATATATTTAGTGTGTGGAAAGAGACAAAAGAAAAAGCTCTTTGGGGAATAAAAACCTTGGGGTCATACTTACCTAAGAGTAATTTAGGGAAATTCGATGTTTCAATGTTGTGATAGTACACGATGGACGTTGTAGTGGCAACAAACCCCATCACGGCAGGCATGAAGAGGTGCAGGTGCCTGGACCCCCGCCGTCTGTGGAGAGCGCAATGGAGTCAGTGTCTAAAGCAGAGAATTTCTCATTTTGTTTACATTTTTTTATTAAAGTTCACTCCCAGCTATGTTTAAAACACTGAATGCAATAGTGGGTGCTAAGAGAATATATAAGGGGAGACAAGGTCGTGGTGACACATTCTGCTGAAGGGTTTATCCTAACACAGAGGTATGGGCAAACTAACCAGTTCTTTAAATGCTTCTAACAAAGGCATGGTCACACACACCTATAATCCCAGCTACTCAGGATAACTAAAATATACAAGAGCTGGGGGCATGGCTCGAGTGGTACGGTGCCTACCTAGCAAGCATGAGACTCTGAGTTCAAACCCCAGTGCCACAAAAAATATATATAAGCATATATATAATATATATATAACATATATATAATATATATATAGAATCACATATCTATATACATTGCATATATACGTATTATTCAGCAAGAAAGAACTGCCGAAACAATTTAACGATTAACACAAATGAAAACAAATGAATCTGAAATCTAAAGAATTTAAGGAGGATGCTCATTTCTTTGACAGCGTTCTTAAATTCTGTGGCTTTCAGTGGTTTCTCCATTATCGTTAATTTACTCAAGGCAACTATATTGGCTGGTCCAGACAGGGGGATGTAACCATAAATAAGATACAGCATCTTTGGTCACAAAGTCAGGAGTCCACTGAAGCCATCAATAGCACATAGCAAATTACAACACAGGTGAAGAGACTAGGAGCACCCAGGGCTGGTGTTTGGGACAGAGAAAGCTTTATGGAGGAAGTGACTGCTAAACTGAGTCTGAAGAGTGAGGATACTAAGAGGACAAAGGAAGGAAGACAGTTCCAGACATAGGATCCAGATATGATGCAGGGTATTGTAAGCAATTCAGCACAACTATAAGACTGGGTTTTATTGTGATGCATGGTAGAAAGACCTCAAGTCCATCTGTATTACCAATGCCAAATGGGAAAGCATTTACCTTTTCTCAAATGACAAAATTACATAAATAATATAGAGAACAGAGGACTAGTTGAAGACTGGGGGAAGGGCAACATTTGAGGAAGTAATTCAGAAGTGGTATGGTTGACTGTGAGGATTGAAATTCAAAAAAAGAATGCCCAGGTCAAGGTGGTAGTCCAGCACTTTATAGACAAAGAACAGAAGGTGTAAATGCAAAGAAACATGAGACAATGCAACATGTTCACAATTCTAAGTAGTTTGATCTTCTTGAACTAGGAAGTCTAAGATAACTTAAGCTATCATGAAAAGCTTGGTATGCCACAGTAAGGAGTGGGAAAGTCTACTTGCAGAAAACACTGTAATACTGTAATAGGTGAGAGGTTGGTCCCGTGTGTGTTTTGAATGGATCCTTCTGTACTAATGCAGATGATAGACTTTGTAGGCAATATATGAACTGTGGTGGGAGGAAGTGGAAGGAGGAGACATAGTCAGGAAATGATGCTGCATATGGGACATGTGACATGATAAAGGCCTGACCCATGCCTGGACAGCAGTAACATAAGGAAATAATACATTTGGAAAAGGTTAATTGTTAGAATAGGCAAAACTTTAATAGTATTAGTGTGTGAGGGTGATGGTGATTGAGAGGTAGAAAATAATTTTTAGGATGTTTGTATGGCCAAGTAAGATTTTATGAGGACAAGTAGAGTGGAGAAAGGAGCCTAAACAGTTTCAGTGGGGATGTGTAGATTGTGAAGATGTTTAATATTCAATTATAAAAGCCTTTGTAGCTGGTGCAGTGGCACACCTATAATCCCATCATTTGGGGGGTCAAAACAGGAAGATCTATGAATCCCAGAGCAGCCTGGGATAAATAGTGAAGAAGGAAGGAAGAGAGGAAGAGAGAGAAGGAGGGAGGGAAGTGGGAGGGAAGAAGAAAGGAAGGAAGGAAGGAAGGAAGGAAGCAAGGAATAGTTAGAAAACTATTTCCCCCAGCTTATGTTCAACTTGATCAATACAATTCATTATGTTTGTCTAATACAAATTTTCATAAGAAGGACAGAATTCTTTAAAAACTTAGGTTAAAGGCAAATCCTGATTTTCTACCTTCTTTTGCCTTCATTTATGGATCTATCCTCAATATCTTTGAAAAGAAATGAATGTGCACAAGTCACAGAGATGTGAAATTGTTTATTAGAGAAATTATGCAGTATCACAAAATACATGACTATCACATAAAGTGGGTGGCAAATTCTGGTCCTAATGAGTTATGTCTCAAACATTAAAGGCAATTTGTGTTCTCTTAGCTACTAGGAAGATCAGTGTCCAATTGATATACTGTAAAGATGTTAAAGAAATTGTGTCACTTACGAGTCTGACACTATGCCTTCTGCAATTTCACAAACATGCACAAACAGGAGAGCAAACGTCAGAATCCATCTCAGGTTATGACCAGGAAAATGAAGCCATGTGTTGTGATGAATTTGCACTTTTGAGCTTTGGCTCCCCCACCCTGAAAAAAAGAGAGAGAGGGAGAGAAAAGTAAAAACAGAGGTAAGTGAAAGAATCAATTATAACCATGGATATAATTTACATTATCATATGCTTTGGGGAGGTTCCTGAAAAGTTAATGCTTCCTAGGATAACAGGGAAATTCTGAGCTATTTTCATTATAGTAAAAAAAATGACAATTTCAATTAAAATTTGCAACACTGCCTAGGCAAACACATTAACATTTGTTACACTGTTCAGGAAGCAACCGCAGGGTTCTATTTCATGCTAATCAGAAGCTCTTACTAACAGCCTTTTGATGCACTCAAAGAAAACAGATTAATACTTGCAATGACAAAAGAAATTCTGTATCTACAATGTTTTAAAGCCCGAAATCTGGGGGTGAGGGGAAGAACTAGCAAAAAAGACATTTTGTGGTGCTAGGATACAGGAACCGCTAGTTGAGTCTACTGCACTGGGTCACGTGTGTATCACGTAAGTGAAGTGATTACCCGTGGCTGCACCAGCACTATTGCCACAGCATGCTGACACTTCTTTCAAAGAAAGCTAAAGTTTTGTTCACTGAGCTTTTAAGCAGGTTCGAGAACATTGCAAGTTCACCTTTGCCCATCACTGAAGAAAAAAACTCAATTATCATTATAGTAAAATTTTGATGGTTTCCTCCCCAAACCACAGGTAGAATAATAGCACTTCACTTATGGTGTGCTAGGAAAGAATGCACTTTTATCTTCTTTTGTTCCCCTTGTTTCCTCATTTTCTGACCCTAGAAAAGTCCAACATATGTCAAGAATGAATGAGGATTTGTGCTTGAAATGTTGCAGAAAAGAATTCACAGATACCTATATCTATACAGATATATACATGTATATACAAAGATATGTATCCTGAAACATTATCTGAGAAGAAAATTAATTCATGACTTCCTTGTTTCCAAATGTACGTCCTCACCGAAGTTAAACTTAACATATTCTATTGGAACTTACGCTATAAACTCTTTCAGGAAATTCTGTGTCTTTTCTGCAATGTAGTTTTCTTAGCTACTGACACTTTGGGATTTCCATATAATTCCTTTCTCAAGTGGCTGATGTCACAAATGAACAGTCATTATGTTTCTCTGTGTCCCTTTGCCAGTCTCCACTCCAGTTCCTCGCTATTTAAATATTCTTGTTGCCAGCCTCTGTGCTGGGATTAAAAAGGGAATGTCATGGTCCTGGCTCTCAACAACTTAACTGGATGTCAAAAAATGAATTATTAGTTGTAGAACCACAGGGGAAAAAACACCCATATTCTACTTTCTTTTAAGGGCATTCTTAATGCCTTGTGAATAACACTTCATAAATAATGACTAGTGTTTCTACACGTGGCCACTCTGTCCCAATATGGTGTTTATACATATGACAGATAATCTTTGATTTCTGTGAGAATGTCAAATACATGGTGTCCTCTTAATTCATATTTGTTAAATGAATAATTAAAAGCACACAAATTATTTGCAAAGCTTTTTAAAAAGTAAATTCTTAAATGATGCTCATTTTCTTAAGAAAACTGGTCTAATAATCCTTTTACTTATTTTTGTGATGAAAGACCATGCATGGGAACATTGAACACAGCATTTCAAAACAGTGGCTACATCTTGTGAAAGGATAAGAATGCAGGAGGGAGCATCTGAACTGCTCCAAAAAATATATATCAACAGTGGTAAATATTGTATATATTATATATATATATATGCACACACACACTATTTTCTTATGTCATCTATGATATTTTTATCTGTAAGCCTTTTTTGATGTGACTGTTTTTAACATGCTAAAAGTAACAAGTTATAAAAAAAAGAATGCAGGAAGGACAGGACCAGGAAATGGTACTCAGAGGGAGCCCCTTTCATTCCTATTTTACATTCTTTCAGATGAGTGGAGGTAGGTTCAATGGGTATTTATTCTAGTAATATAAATCCTTTTAGATATCAAAAATATTTCATAATTTTTAAAAAGTTAAAGGGTCTATTTTGTTTGTTTTGGGGAAGTCACACAAATGATACATAACAGCCCTAAATAATTATATTTTGTACACATGTAAATGTGGCTTAAAAATAAGTTAAGCTCTGTACTAACCGTTTCGAAACAGTTGTCACATGTATTGTTTCTACCTAAAACACAATCTGTCACTCCTACGTAACCTGCACGCTCTTGTCACTCTGTGGAATCTTTCCCACCAGCCCCACGAAGAATGAGCTGTTCTGGAAGGTTAATGACCAGAATAATCTGTCCTTGAATGTGCAAATGGATTGGCAATGTGGTGGAGTCATTTCTCTCAACACACCAGCTTCTCTGGACCACTGAAGGGAGGCTCCTAGCCCTATTCCATTCTTGCAGCATGAACTAAGAACCCAACAAAATCTAGCTCTATCTCGTAGAACATCCCTCACCCTCTTTAAAAAACAAAACTGCAGCTGAGCTCACATGTGACCTCTATTTGGCCCATGATATGCCAAACATATACCTCTGAAAACCACAAAATTGTTTGTACTTTTCTCACGGACTTGCACATCAATTTTCACAGTGGAGAATTTAATACAATGTTATCCTGAATCTCAGCCATGAGTAAGACAAGAAAATAGCAGGTGGGATAATACCAGACATTAGATTACTTACCAATAAACAATATTGGAAAAGTGATGAACAGTAGGAAGACATGAGGAACCAGGTTGAGGGCATCCACAAAGCAGGGATTTTGTAACACACCATTGTAGATATCGTAAGAAGAGATGTTGTTGCCACAAAATGAAAGGCTCATCTCTTCTATGATCTACTTTAAAACAGAAAAGAAAAAGGAAGAAAAGATCCTCTCATTATTAAAAACTTTCTTTCAGAAACTTATGGCCTTAAATAGGTGATTATGTCATAAAATTAACCCCTCCTTATTTTTACAAATAAGGAAATGGGAAACTATACCAAGACAACTTAAATTTTTCTTGTACAGGCTTTATACAATCTGTAAACCCTCTTTTCCATCACATTTTTTTTTTACAGAAAATATATTTTATTAGGATTTGGAAAATGTATAATAACTATTATCTACATAACCTGGTACCTCCAAAGAGTGTCTGTCTGATTAAAATGATGTAAAAGAAAAAAATTATGGAGTGCTAAGAGAAAGGAAGGAACCAGAGGCCTGTAATCCCAGCTACTTGGGAGGCAAAGATCAGGAGGATTGCAGTTCAAGACCAGTCCAGGAAAACAGTTCACAAGACCCCATCTCAACCAATAAAAGGTGAGTGGTGACAGGAGCCTGTTTCCCAGCTATGCAGCAAGCAAAAATATGAAGATCATGGTCCAGCTCAGCTCTTGCATAAACAGGAGCTGATTCAAAAAGCAACTAAAGAAAAAAGGGCTGGGGTTGTGGCTCAAGTGGTAGAGTGCCAGTGTCCTAAATTCAAACCTCAGTGCCACCAAAAAATTTAAAAAGGATGAGAGAAAGAAAAACAATGATTGAAAAGTCAAAAGGATGTAATATCAAATTGTTTCCCATGCTCATTCATTGAAAAAATGATTACTAAACTTTAGTTGGCTAAAATTTACTGAAATACTTCATTGATGACAGAAAATAGCAAATACGCAGACCAACATGGCTCCATACAGTAATCCCCAAGGGATTCACTTCAAGTGAATAAGACAAATTAAATACACCCCAAGTGACAAGTTAATGAAACTGCTTAGGTCTCAGAGTCAGAAATGCTCTTAAATGAAATGTGCTGTACCTGCTTTGAAAGGGACAGCTTTAATTCGGAATTCTGGATTCCATTAGCATAGAAGTAGCTGAGAACAGAAGGGAAACCAAGGGCAAGACCACTTTTAGTTAAGTCACTGTCCTGACTTTGACTTTTTCACTGAGAGAAGTGGAGTCACTGGGGCTCCTGAGCAAAGGAGGGACTTAGATTTTAAGTAGATTCCTCTCACAGACTACAGAGGAGCAAGGGCCTGTCCATCAAAATGCAACCGTGAATTTCAAGGGGAGTTTTAGCATTCTACAAACCTCTGGTATAATGCCTACTATTTACTTAGCATCTACTGAATCCTGGGCATTTGTATACACGATCTTAGGTCCTCAGAACAACCATGTAATTAATGGTTTTGGTGTTGTTTGCTTTTTACAGCAGAGGATATTGAGGTTCAGAAGGGATACTAAGATGCCAACCATTGGAGAACCTAAGATCCAGGCCCCCATGTCTGACTTGTGAGCTATGTTCCTTCCCCTGCATCATGCAGCTCCAACCTGTCTTTAAAGAAATGATCTTATCTATTCTTGTTAAAAACAGGTAGCAGTTTCAGATTTTAACCCCACTGGATTTTGTTTCCTTCCATATTTATGTCACACCGAATTCTGAGTTAGATTATTAAAAAGGATCAAAAATTAGATTAACTATTGTAGAACCTTTTCTGTCTTTTATTGATAATTGACTTAGCAATGGGCATGAACAATATTTTTCCTAAGGAAAAAACCCAAAGAATATTACACAGAAAACATTGGAAATAGTAGATAAATTATTGTCAAATATCATCCATAATTTATAGTTAATAAAGCATAATTATAAACCATTACATGACTATAACAACTAATTAGAAAGCCCACATACTTATAGTCTAAAATGATTATTTATTAATCCCTCTCACATATTATTTCTTGTGAGCCCTTTTTTGATAAATTATTGATGTGCTCCCTAATTGAGATCTTTTAAAAAGTTGTACTTTAAAACAACTCAAGATGACTTATTAATTCAAATGTGTATGTTAGGTTTCTGTTATAGACAGAAAAAAGCTAAAATCCTACTTCTCAAATGTCACAATGAAACACCCTGTATAGCTATTTTAAACAAACAAAACGGTCATTTTTTTTAATACTTTTTTATAAAGTATAAAAAAAATCAATATGTAGATTTGGCATTTTAGTTAAAAAAAGAAAAACCACTTCCTTTGTTTAGTGAACACGATGAAAGGAAACCTGAGGTCCACTCTTAGTGGAAAGAGATTTAGAGTAAAGTCTTTTCTTGTGCCATCATCTCAAACTGCATTCCCCGGCCCTCCAACTGTCCCTCATCTTTCACTCCATGTCTTCCACTTTTTCTTTTGCCTCCTCCTCTAGCCTTTCCCCTTGACCCTCAGCCTCTCCCCTCCAAAACCTTCACTATCCACGTGGCAGGTTCTAACAGCCAGTGCACATGACAAAAACAACATGAACACAAAGAAGGAAAGAGTAAACTTATGGCAGAAAGATTGAGAATCATTGTTTTAATCAAAGATACGTTATTCAATCCCATTTTCTAACTTTTCTTTTTTCTTTGTGGTGCTAGAGCTTGAACCCAGTGTCTCATGCATACTGGGCAAGCACTTTACTACCGAGCTACTCACCCAGCCCTCTAATTCTTAAATTTCCAGTGGAACTCAGGTTTCCCTTTCAACACTCAGGTTGAGTTGGGAATGCTTCCTGAAGGATATGGGCTGCTGCTCTTGCAGGTGACTCTGTCACCTGACAGCCTTCCTTCCCCTTCCCTCTCTCAAACTGTCTAGGTTCAGCTAAGCCCTGATAGAGGCCCCAGAATTAGAGAGATGAGGAAGGGAGGTCAGATGGGAAAACATAACTGTTTCCTCCCAGAAGCATCAACTCTCTGAAAGAACCTTCAAGTGTCTGTATGAAGGTGGATCGAGTTGGAGAACTTCACTGAATAAACTAAACTTGAAGATCAGAAGTGAAAGTTTGATTACAGGGACAGTCTGCAGAAAAGAAAACATAAAAATAAAAATATTTCTTGATGATCTAACTTGGGCTTTCCTGGCAAGAATAATGTTATCAGTATTCTTATTACTCGAAATGCATTTAGGAAGTTCCACACCCCCTGGAAGTTACAAAACTTGGGTTTAGTTGATGAACATAGAAATCGACCTATCATCATGTAGAAGAAAAGAGCAACAGTTATCTGATTGAATTCCAAAACTATTTTAAAGTATTAAAGTGTATCAGGCACACTGTTTTTGCCAGCCTTTCAAAGTAGACTGTATGTGGAAACCTCTTTCCTGCCCACCCACCAGATAGCAATTGTGGACTATTTCTAGTGCAGGGAACGCCTGAAAAAAAAATGCTAACTGCAACATGAGAGCTTTCATTCTTCCATATAAAACAATTCATCCTTCAGTTATTCAGAGAATAACCAAGTTATGTTATGAGAGAAACGTGACGTTTCAAAGAATGTAGGGTTTTTATCATTCTCAAAAGCACTTTCAGGGAAGAGCTCACTTGCAAACAAAGCTGCAATAACGTCTTTGAAGATATTCAGTGGATGCTTCACAAAACCAGAGCTAGACGTCTCTAACTAGCTATCTGGTCAGTTAGCTGTGACAGATTCGAGTAGGAACTTCATTAGCAAAAATGCCCGCTGACTCTTGATTTACTGCTTGTTCTGAATCCAGCCATGTAGTCTTCATGGGCTGCTAAGAAGTTATATTGCACATCAAAGGAAATGTTGGAACCACTCAGCAATGAAAACTGAACAAATGAAGCCAAAAATAAATAAATACCTTGGGCTTGACGAGGCTTCAAACCCCCACGGGTGCACTCATGCTACCTTCCAAACGCCGGCTTCCCACGTTGGCTTAAGATGTCAATTTCAAACCAGGACACAGAACTCCTGAAAAGCAAAGAGTAACAGAAATTAAACAGATAGAAAGCTACTTGGTGATTAATACAGGAACTAAAAGGGGGGGGGGAGGGAGAAACCCCAAAACCTAGTAACACCTTTCCCTGTTTTCGGTTGGCTTAAATAGAAGCCAGCAGAGTTTTTAAAACTGGCAACCTGATCCCCACCCCCTCTCTTCTCCTCCAGCGTGGCCCAGTCCCTTAAATCTTAGCAATAGCCAGCCGAAGGCAAAGCCCTGAGAGATACGCGGGCGCCCTTAGGGTGCAGGAATTTTAGCTCAAAATCGCCAGCTTCCCATGAGTTGCTCAAGATTTTTGAATAGAGTTACGTAAAAGGCATGGACTCACTCACTCGGACGGCAGCTTTCCTCCCCTGGCCGCAGCACGCAGGTCGCCGAACAGGATTATTTTTAGGGTGGTGGGAGACCAGCTGCTGCCTCCTATCGAGTTTCGGAGTTGCACCGACCGTTCGGGCCAGGCCGGGGCGGCACTGCGGCGTCCTGCGAGGCAGGAACTGGGCCAAAGCCCCGCGTACCGCCGCGCACTGGGGACCCTGCCCGCCCCGCGCGCGCAGTGGCAAACTTGGGACTCGCTCCGCGCAGACTTTTTACCAAGCGCTCACGCACCCCCAAACTTCATTAGACGCTCCGATTTGGAATAAATGGTTCTGGGACTCCCGCGGGGTCGGATTTCCAACGTCAAATACAAGCAAGGGTCTTGGTTGTATTCCCTCCACGTTCCCCCAAGTTCTACAAGCAACCTTTTATTGGCCACAAAAAAGAAGCGGATTTGGGGGTTCGCTGTTCCCACCACCACCTCCCCAAGCGGACCTAAGATTTGGACTTGGGAGATGAAGGGCTCCTTGGAGGCTGCATAAGTGCATGCAAAAGTCTCCGCACTGACAACGCAAATTCAAGTGCAACCTTCCCCCACCCCTTCTCTCAAAGGAGCTTGGAAAAATTGATCGTTCCTCCAACCCACGCTACCGCGACTGTTGCCTAAGCTCCCCAGAAGTGATTCCCTCGGATTCCCAGGAACCGCAAGAGCAGCTGGTCCCCAACCGGACACGTAATCTGTGCTCCAGATGACCTGTTTCGAATATGATCTCTCCAGAATCACTTGCTCACCCCCCGCCCCACGTCGCCCCAAGACACAGCAGTGAATGTTGACCTCAACTCTTTCATCAGCACTCGCTTTTTTCCAGGGCCAGTTTCCATCAGCTACAAAATCACTGTTGTCAGTGACCGTCTGGTGGCTTGGTGCCCCAGGCTACGCGCGCGCACCCCCAGGGGCGTTGGTCCCAGAGTCTGAACGCTGCTTCCCATGGCCTCCTGACCTCCGGACTCCAGGACGAACCCGGCCAATGCCCTTGGGTTTCCCCGCGGACACCTGTCTCTTGAAGGTCGCCTCACCCAGGGGAGGGGAAGGGTTCCCAAGATTGATCTGCGTCCCCTGGGCTGGGAAGAAAGGAGCAAGGAAGAAATGGGGTCCCAGAACTGTGGGTGGAATACGAATACGGAGATACCGGGAACAAGAAGGGAGGGAGGGGGGAAGAGCGCTCAAAGCCTCCCCAAAGGTAATGCAGATAATCCCAAAATAGGGATTTTGAGAGTGACCACCCAAAAGCAAGTTGAGTTGAGGATTTTAAAAGATATTAAACGCATAGGTGATGGAGCAGCCAGCTTGGTATAGAAGTATACCAAGGTGTATCTTTTACAATAATTATTTCCCAATGATGTTTTAAAGTTGTTATAGAAATAACAAATTTTAAAACCCATTTCCTAGTGTTGGGCATGTAATTCCAAATGATTGCTAGTATCTATGGGTCTATGATGATCACTTTTGCATGATTTTAATTCTTTCTAGCTGATAATTCCTTTAAGATATATTCTCTGGAGCTTGATTACAGGGTTAAAAGTGGGCAATATTTTTAAGGCGATGTATGTAGAATGAAAATTTTGAAAAGTTTCAAAGAAATTGGTATTGATTCCTCCCAACTGTGTGAGGTGATCTATTACACTTTCTACCCAAGCCAGCATTGAATATTTTCATTTAAAAAATCTTATTATTTGACAGGTAATAGACAATTCTTTGTTATAAACCGTCAACGTTTTTTCAAAGGTTCATTAGCTTTGTATTCTCTCCACTGTGAAGTTTTGTTCACATACTTGCCCAACTAATTGGTCTTAATGAAATTTCTCATCATTCAATTAATTTTAATAAGAAAAAAATTATTTAAATTTGTCATTTAAAAATGACAGCAATATTCTCTTTTAAAATTCTTGTTTTCATTCACTTTTTGAGGACTTGTTAGAGCCTTCCCCAATTACTGTATACAGAGGCCAATGATAAGTCAACTCTCACATCTGTGTCTTCATGGAGGTCTTTGTAAGGGAAAGTTTACTTAGACAAACTTTTTTTTACCATTGTAATTTATTCCAAGCTTTAGTTAATAAACACTAACACTCTTTTATATTTGCGAAAGGGTGCTTTTTTAACATTTGACTCTGGAATTTATTTTGGCATACACTGTGGAATAAGAATCTAAGTTAACATTCTGTTTCACTAACACCACTTACTGTGAAATGTTTTCTTCCACCCTGATATGTAATACCATCTTTGTCATAAACATATAACCATTCTATAATAAGGTCTGTTTCTAGGCTACCCGTTCTCTTCAATATTTATTTTTCAATTTTTATTCTATTATTATGATCAGATTGATTTTATTATTACAGCTTTAAAGTCTGTTTGTACATTTTAACCCTGATAGTACCAGCCCCATTTTTATCATTTTCAAAATTTTCTTAGCTACTCTTTTTGTTATCTTATTGGAATTTCATTAAATTTAAGAAGTAATTTATAGATAAATATATTTCAGTGTTCTTTCTTTCCATAAATGTGTTTTCCCATTTAAATATTTTTATTGCCATATTAAATTTATATATACATTTATACAATTCTTATAAGGATTGATCATACAATCTTCATATCTTTGTTTTCATATTTTGTACTAATGTTAAGAATGTACTGCTCGTGGAGATCTTCTGACAGATCTTATATCCAAACAATTTGCTAATCTCTCTCTCTCTCTCTTTCTCTCTCTCTCTCTCTCTCTCTCTCTCTCAGTAATAGGGGTGGAATCCAGGCCATGTGCTCACTAGACTGGTCCTCTATTCTTGAGCCATGCCTCTAGTCCTTTTTGTGTGTGTGTGTGTGTGTGTTAGTTATTTTTGAGATAGGCTCTCGATTTATGTTCAACTGGCTTAGACTGTGATCCTCCTATGTTCAGCTTCCCTCTGTAGTTTAATGATAGGCACATGCCACCTCACCAAGCCATTTGTTTGACAGGGTCTCACCAACTTTTTGCCCAGGCTCGCCTCAAAAAGCAGTCTTCCCAATCTCTGCCTCCCAAGTAGTTAAGCTTTCTTAACAACCCATTATCTTGAATTTCCAGAAAATTTGATATTTTTTGCCAATAGTGGTATACTTCTCCTTACAAATACAACTTATTTGTATTTTATCTCTATTTTGATCAACTCTAAATTCAAGAACAGTGTTAAATAATACAGATAATAGAACACTCTGTCAGAAATATATACAATATATTTTAGGTTAACATTGTTAAGTATAATTTTTATAAAACTAAAATTCATCATTTATGTAAAATTCTCAGGGTTTTAACATAATTATGATGCCAAAAAGATATAGGATACATCTGTCTCTCCAGGAAGTTTTCTTGTGCCTCTCATTAGTCAGCCTCACCATTGCCTACCCAGGGTAACTGTGGGTCTGAGGTCTTTTACTAGAGATTATGTCACAAATGTCACATAAAGAGAGTCACACAGCAATACTCCTTTGTGTATGACTTTTTAAGTTAAGCATAATAATTTTTATATTCATCCAGGGTGTTGCATGTACCAGCATTTTATTCCTTTTATTAGTGGGAAGAATTTCCATGTCTGAGTATACCACCATTTCTATCCATTTACCTGTCTATATACATTTCCAGTTCTGAGCAGCAATCAATGTAGCCCACATGAATAATTTTGTAAATACAGCTTGTCTTTGCTCTTGGATAAATCCCAAGCAGTGGATTTGCAGGTCTATATGTCATTTAAACATTTAACATTACAGAAATTCCAAAATAATTTAAGCATTTTACGTTTCCTCTAGACAAGTATGTGATGGTTCAGTTGCTCCACAGTCTTGCCAATATTTAGGATCATCAGTTTTATTTTATTTTTTAATTTCATACTTTTATTAGATGTCAGTATAGACTGGTTCTTGATTGTGGTTTTAATTTGAATCTTTTGTGACTAATCATTTTGAACACAGTTGTTCATGGGCTTATGGACCATTCATATATATTCTTGTGAAAAGCATAATTTTCAGATGGCTCCCATCACCCTTTCTCCTGGTACTATCCCCATGGTGATACTATGTTACATGTCCAAAAGGTCTTTTTCAGATGGAAATAGTATATTAGTTTATTTTTAAATAGGCTGATCAGAAATGGTATCAACAAGACAGCCTTCATCCCAAAGCAATTAGACAGCTGTCTATAAACAAAAATAAGCTGAAAGTTTATGAAGTTAAGACTCTACACCAACAACACAGTGTAGCAAAAAATGGAGAATAACTGTATTGAAAGTGTGGCTGGGGAGGTGGTCTCAGTAAAATCTGGAGATGGCTAGGAACATAGTAGGGCAGGGCTACTTGTACCACTCATGTGGCATGTGCTATATGGTGCACAGAGGCATGCTCCATGGGAGATCTCAAGGTATCTACTGGTGCTCACCCTACTGACTTGGTCCATAGAACACAAAGCAGTCTTTGCTACTGAGATAACCAATGGCCATCACCACTGTGGACCCCCAGAAAAGGAGGACGTCACTGAACACACAATAGAAAGACATGCTATTGCTTTCCCCAGGGATCAAGACTGCAATAATCTTCAACCCCAAGTGCACCCAGGGCTCCAGAGCCACAGCTGCCCCATAGGTACCCACAATTCAGATCCCATCCTGTGGCCACTCTGCACATCCCTAGACTGTTGTTGTTGGACATTCATTCATATCTCAGGCACCAGAGCCACTGGTGCTACAGGCTAGTCAGTGTCCTGGACCCCAGAGTCCCATGTCTCTGTACATCTCAACTCTGACATGTAACTACATGGCTGTTCATCAGGAACATGTATCTCCAACACCAGAACCCTACCACTGCAAGCTAGGCAGGGCCTCAGAATCCAGAGCTCCCACAGTTCAGACCCTGGCTCTACAGTTGCTCCATGGATGCCAACCTGTGCATCAGATACCAGTGCCACTGCCACAGTGAGACCACCCATGTACTGGACCTGTCACGAAGATGTTTTCCCTTAGCTGCAACATCTCTGAAAGACTGAAATAGATGGGCCTCTTTCTGCTGTTGAGAAAGAGGCCTATTTAGCTATTGAGACTCCTACTATCTTCTATGATACTGACCACAGGCAACAAACTTCACTACCAGGACTTCCCTACAAACAGAATCACCACACTCCATACATGTGGAGCCTTCACATATGTCATTTGCAAGTGAAAGTCT